TGACCTCATAGTAGTGTTGTGTACAGTGGATGTTGTGGATGGGGACCCTTGTGGAGTTAGAGGCCTCAGGCTGCCCATATGGTCTTCACATGGACTATCTGTGCCAACTCCTGATGAGGACTCTTGATGTAATATCAGCAGTGTTGGAATTACCACCTTTGACTTGACTTTTCCTCTCTGCTTTCTCCCTTTTCCCAGTTCTTAAATGTGTATGTAAGGGATTGAATGACTTTCTCACCACACTTTCTCTCTGTGTGGGACAAAGTCCTCATTCCTTCAGGGTAAACACAGAGAGGAAGAGGCTTTGAAAGGAAGGAATGGCCAGCCAAGGTGCACCTCGAACTGTCATATGTATTTAAACACACACCCCGGGAAGCAACAAATGAACAATTTCAAATTCATTACCTGTAAATAATGTGTATCAGAAAATAATGTTAATCAGAAAAGCATCAGTATGGTCTCTCCTGGCCTCTTTGTCAGACCAGCCCAGAACCCTAATGTGTAACACTTGCTTGGAGAAGATGATATCCTGTTGAAGCCTGCACATGTCGCCTTAGGAGCTGCTGCCCGCTTTCCGTACTCTGCCTGCCTCAGACTATGGGAGTGGGCAGGTGCAGCACAGCGCAGGTCTGGAAGGCTTGGGGGCCTCCATGGCAAGTAGGAGCAGTGCAGTGTCCTGGAGAGTAGATGGTACAATGCCTTTGGTATCCCAAATGCTACAAACTACTGACCTAGCAAATTGAAAGCCCCACACAGATCATTTGCAGGTTTAATAGATCCCTTTGCACTGTTTGGCCAAATAACATCATGAAAGACAATGATCTGTGTTGTAGTCTGGTGAAGAGTACACATGTGGGTCTGAGGGAATATGTCTTTGGACCACACTTCTGTGGGCCACACATATGCGTGCACCCTCATTTCATTTGGAGCCATTTAGAACCTCACTCACCACTAAAGTGATTGGCTTTCACAGCCAGCTAGACCGGGAGCATTTCAAGTCTCTTCTGAAGGATCACATAATAAATAAGCCAATCCTTTTACACACACACACACACATGCGCGTGCCCGCCCGCACCTACATTCTGTCTTTATGGAAAATGGCTGCTAATCCATGGTCATTTTTTCCCTGAAACAGGTTTTATGATAATATAGTAAAAATATTAAATTAGAAAATGCCTCACTAAGGGTTATAAAACCTTACTGCAGTAAAGATAGGTAATTATCCCCTCTACAGCCTAAATGACAGTTTAAAAGAAATAAAAATGTTAGTGTTCATTACTTGCTTTTGTAGGTTGTAATAAAGGGTAAGTTAAATTTTAATTCAAGGAAGAGCCCCTGCTATCGACCTTCTACCTCAGGTCCGCATCCTGTTAATTACTCTGTAGGCTGTTCTCCTGCACGATACCAGCGTTAATACATTTTTGACAATGGACATTCCCACTGGCCATTGAGACCAAGAGTGCGGGATGAGGATAACAAGGATGGGGAGCACTGCATCTTAGTGACTCAGATCTTGATTTTCATGTGATGGGGAAGAGGAATTTTATATAGGTATATTTTTTAACCAAATTAATTATGCATAGCCTTAAGGGATCCCAGATATTAAACTATACACTTACCCTAGAGAATCAGATGGAGACAAGGTTAACCTGAAGGATTGATAGTTTAGCTTCTCTGCATGGCTAAACCCTGGTGAGGCGAGTTGCTGCAGGAAAGAGCTCTCTGTACTATAGAAGGCTGCTGGCTCAGGCCCATGGGGCTTTCTGTTCCCTGGTGTGGGGTTTTTGGTTATCTGGGGGCATAGAGTAACAAGAGGGAAGTGGGCTTTGTTCCTTCTCTGATGCTTTGACCATTCCAGAAGCCTTAGTACAAGATATACTGCCTACCTGGCTTTTAGGGGGAAACCTAGTACTCTGTACCCCAGGCTTCATATGGAGTGTCCAGGTGTATGAAACACAGAGAGCCAAGGACTCCATTTCTACGTGTATTCTCTCAGGGAAGATTCATTTTCTGGTAGGGGAGCCAGGCCCGAGGCCTTGTGCTCCCGTTGGCTGTCTCTCCTAGACCCCTGCCTGTTCTGACCCTGCTGTGGGATCTTGTTGTGGAGTGGGGGAAATCTAAGGGTTTCAAGCACAAAAACAGGTGAAGTACTGGTGCAGGCATTGGGAAAGAAAATTAAACAAACTTCTTTTCGGTAAGAGGATTTTTCAACAGAATTGCAGAACAGCAGCGGAGTTATTGAAGAAGAACTTTTTTTGGTTTCCAAAAGTGTTTCTAGCTTCAGATACTTCTTTTTATGGCCAGTGATAGGTATAATGTAATTAGGACATAATTTTGTAGGGAAAAATGTGGATATACAAATTTTAAAAGAAAAAGGTAATGTAACATTTCCAACACTTAAACTTGTTCATCTGTTACTTAAATGATGTTTGTCAAATCACTGTAGCCTATACATCCCATTGGGTGCTTGTAAAAGAGATGTGAAAATTAATATTCACATTTTGGTAACTATATACTGAAGAGCAATGATGTCAGTCTGGAGACTAAGGTGTGCCCAATCCAGGCCATAGTCTTTGCAATTACTTGGCTATGCATCAGAAAGCCGGGCGAGGGATGATAGAAGGAGAATTGATGTCTTTGAACTGTGGTGCTGGAGAAGAGGATTGAATATACCGTGCACTGCTTCGAGAACAAACTGATTCGTCCTAGAGGTGAGGCCAGGCTGCTCCTTGGAGGCAAGGATTTTGAAGCTTTGGCTGACATATTTTGGACATGTTCCAAGGAGGGACAGTGCAAGAGAGGAAGACCCTGATGCGATGGATTGATTCAGTGACTGGTATAATGGGGATAGGTGTGTCAGAGACAATAAGATTGGCACAGGTTAGAGCAGAGTTTAGGGCTGTTTACACAGGGTGGCTATGAGTTGCAGATGGTACCTAACAAAAACAACTATCTTTTGTATCCCTATTTCTTGTGCAAATTTTATGTCAGTGTAAAACTTTATAAGGAGGATGTACGTGGTTTTGTACAGTCCTTTTAGCAGCTGTGTAAGCAGAGAGACTGGGAGAAACTGCCCCAGGCTTTGTCCTTTGGCTGCTTCCCCCATTCTGCCCTGTGGGGAGAGGCCAGCCTGCCCTGGAGCCTCTGGAAGGACAAAGGGCTGCAGCAGCATCAAGGACTTGGAGTCTTAGTCTTCTTTCTGGAGGCTCCTGCACCCCAGCAGGGTCTGCTTGATTTGTGTCACATATTGGGATTGAAGAAGTGGGAGAGAGGAGGTAGGAGAGAGGAGACTGTGGCCATCTTCCCGTGAGAGCCGGAAGCTCTGAAGTCATGGAGACCTAGTGGCTGGGGAGGCTGAGCCAGTGCCTTCTGCCTGGAGGGTAAACACTGAGCGGTGTCAGCTGGGGAGGACAGTGCAAGAGTGGAAATGACTTTGGGGTTTTTAGATGGAGTAATCCCTTATTCATATTTTCCCTGTCTTTGCTAAAATAAATTTTCAAGAACTCAAACCACTTAGCTTTCCAAGTTGCTTTGCCACGAACAGCCGCATATGTTTGTCAGCTTTGCCCACCTAAGTGTGAAATGATGTTCTATCAAAACATGGATTTCAGCATTTCACTCTCTGCTCCTGACATGTGAACCCTGCTGCGGACAGTTACTGCTGCCTTGGGCCGGCACTTTCCCCGAGATTGCAGTGGGACTGGAAGCATTTGCTCGGTGGTAATGATGGGGTCTGGTGCAAGCAAGGCAGCAAGGCGAGGTGGGAAGAGTGTGATTGTGGGGGCTAAATAGCTGTGCTGCATTTCCTTCTCATTGCACGGTGGAGTCTTAAAGTCACATTGTCCTTTTTGTTGTGGCACCTCTCCCCTTAATGACATTTAATTTTTCTGTCGAAATGGCTAGGGAGACTTGTCCTTATTGGCAAATAGGCAGGTGGGAGTGTGATGGAGTGAAGACTGGGCAGGGGCCCGCTGTCTCTTACGTGATGGAACTGGTAGTTTGAAAGTAGGGCCTGCCACTCATTTGCATTTGTTCCCAGGCTGCCTTCTACCTTTGTGTGGCTTGTCTGGGGCTTGTAGAGGGTGAGGCTGATAGATGTGCAGAGAGAGGGACAAAGGCGACAGATGCAGCCCAGGGTGAACCTGTCTCCTTTGTAGGTTAGAGGTTGGCCTGGTTGGTGTTGGTGAGGGCCTGGTGCATGCCCTCAGTGGATCCCTGGCAGGAAGTGGAGATCCTTGTTTTCTGGCTTTCACACTTCCCTGCCTGGCTGGTGGTCCCTGCGTACAGTTCATTTGCATTCTTTGTTCCAGAGCTTTCTTTATGGTTTTTTGCTTTTTATGATAAGTTGTGATCAAAGTAGTGTGTTAACACTGTTCTTACCACTGTTTCTCCAACATTTTATCAGAACATGGGTTTCAGCATTTCTCTCTCTGCTTCTGACTTGTGAACCCTTTGTGGACAGTACCTATTGCCTTCGGCTGGCATTCCCCTGAGTGGCATCATAAATAGTCTAAAATGTTTTGTGTTGCTGTCTTACTGAACCAAAATAGCTATTGGAAGGGTAGCTAATTGGTTTTATTGTTTGTTTATTTGTTTGCTTGTTAAAGTTGGATGTGCTGAAGTTCACAGTCAGATGAGAACGTTTCTAAAACCTGCTTTCTTTTCAAGGATGCCAGGGTTTATTTTGTGGTTCCCATTGCCATCAAGTCAATTCTGACATATAATGACCCTGTAGGACAGAGTACAAGTGCCCCATAGGGTTCCCAAGGCTGTCGATTATTAGGCGAGCAGACTGCCCATCTCACTCCTACGGAGTGATTGGTGGATTTGAACTGCCAGCCTTTGCATTAGCACAGCTGTGCTCTTTAGCCACTGTATAACCAGTGATACAGTGTCTTATATTTTGTTATTGGTCTTATATGAAACAGGGCAGGTATAGCTTTCCCCTGTGTGGTTTATTGCCTGCTCCCTTACCTTCCTCTCTGGGTGCCCTCACCCAGGCTTGCTGGCAGCACCCAGAATGACACATTGGGCAACGACCACTTCTCTTTTCAGGAAGAATCTGTCTCGGATCCACAAGAGAAAATGGAGCTTCTGCTTCAGTGATGGGAAGAATCCTGCCCCATCTCTCCAGCATTTGGGTCTTGACGGGTGGCTCTTGTCAGATGTTTTTGGGAAAATTGGCTTTAATAGCACAAAGTCTGGGGTTGATTTACTTTCCTTTTTAGAGACCCAAGACTCTAGCATGTTATGACTTGTGTGTGTGAGTGTGTGTACATATCCAACTTTAAAACTAAACTAGCTGATCAAATTATCTTTGAGATTTAGAGTAGACAGCAGGGCTGGGAGTGGGGACAAGGCTCAGTCCTACTATTGCACAGCTGCATATGTGATCTTAATTGGAATTTTGTTGCTGGGTCATTTTCATTGTTTTTCAAGTACTACCAAGTCCAAGGAAATGTATGAAAACTAAATTATATCCCCCTACATCCCATGTCTGATTGAATCCTTCTCATCGCGTGGCAGTCTCATACATCCTATTAAAATATTCAATCTTGTTTTCTTACTTGAAGAGCCTGTCTGTAAAGGGCAAACTTAGAGAAAGCCTGTTCCCTGGAGACAGGGTATCCAGCTACCCTGGGCAATTTCCATTTCTCTGTGCTGTACTCGATTGGCTTCTCTGGGTTTCTGCCTTGTTTCCTATTTGTAAAGAAGCGCTGTGGGATGTATCTTTAATTACATAGCCGCATTTTCCATTGAAGAAACACATTGGGATTGTTCCTCATTTCTTAGCTTCTTTGTAACCTTGGAAAGTTAACCAGTGTGTTAACCAATATGCCTTTTTTTTTTTCTTTCAGGACAGAACTATATCGATCACTTTTTGGCCGACTCAACCCTCCTGGAGACAACCACAGGGACTAATGTCACCCATCTCTCTTGAGTCTTGAGTGAGGGTCTCCATCCCCAGGGTACCTCACCAGGTGGGCTGCCCATCTGGCCCCAGATGGATGCTACCTCTCAGCAATGGGATGAAGCTTTAGAGAAAATCCCTGGGAAGGTGCCGTGTTCAGAACCCTCGGAACATGTGCTGATAGGTCCCGGGATGCCTGCAATCAAGTTTGTCTCTAGCGCTTAATGATATGCAAGGGAGCTGTTCTCATGTTCTTTCTTCATCACAAATAAAGAACGTATCACTAACCCCACTGCCGACTGATGTCTTCAGAGGGTATTGGTGCCCAGCATAGCACCTCGCAGTTGGTAGGTCTTATTAGAGCTCTAGGAGACTTAACAGACTTGCTGGGAGGGGTTTTTCTAGTTAAACAATGTGTCTTCTTATGGAAGGAAGAATTTTAGGGCAGGATGGCTAATGCTGAATGATTCATCATGGCTCCAAACTCAGACAACTCCTTGCCTTCCTGTTGGAGCTGACTAAGCCTCCAGCAGGTTTCTGAGGCTGTAAGTGGAATGGGAGTTTGTCCCTCTTACTCCCGTGGCTCAGCTGGTAAATTCAGACTGCCTTTGGGTTAGCAGCCCATCTCCAGGCTAGGCTCCACAGAGCAGAGGCTCTTGAGAAAATACCATGCTTAGGAGACTTAGTACTGAGGGGCTTTGAACCTGGGAAACTACAACTAAATATAGATCTCTGACTTTCTTTTTTTTATTTTATTATTTTTGTGTGAGTGTACCGTCAAATCAGATCTGACTGGTACAGGAGGAGATTGTCCCTCCTTC